AGTTCATTTTATTGTCATGGCTTAGTTTTGAATTCAGTATTGAACTTTTAATACGTGACGTTCCCTGTTGCCTTAACGAATTCGCTTCATCGATAAACCAAATTAAATTCAATGCAAATGTTTAGCCTTGAAATTAAACTAATCATCTGAGCATGTACTTATTTGAATATATATAATTGTGCCAAGTTTGAAGTCAATCTGATGAAAGGAAGAGTTAAATATTGGAAGCGGAATTAAATTGTTGTAGGATAATTTGTGTGTCTCCTAACAATAAATCAAGATATTTTGGAAACACTGAATTTAAAATAATGATTACAGCTAACCTGCGTATTTTGCATAAAAAATGTTATTTTTTTCAGTATGTAGGTAACTTCAATTTAATCGGGTGACCCTGCAAATATGGGTCTGGCGCGGCACCTCATTTGATAGTACTGAGCAAATTCGTGAGGAGATATAGATTTGAGTTATATTTCTAATATGGATGATTTGTAATTCGGATGTTAATCTGCATATTATGCATAACACAGCATAAAGTGTTTACATTATCATTGTATGAATGGCTTTAAAAACCATGGGTTTAGATACCTCGTTGGACAAATTCCTGCGGAGAAAATGCCTATGTAACAATTATTGTTGATAATAGCGAGTGCTAATTTGCATAATGTACATAAAATATATACATAATCATTGTAGAAATGGCGTTAACCCCTGACAGTCCTGAATCCTTAAATTTCAATAGGATTTTGCACACCCCCTAGGGAGTTGTGGTAAATGCATTCGACGACCCTAAGAACAATGGTTTAGACACCTCGTTTGATACGATTGGACAAATTCCTGTGGAGATGTAGATTATAGTTTCTCAATGGTTCCAGCTTATCCTTCTCTGCCATCTGCCAGTTTACTATTTCCAGTAAATTCTTCGACTTAAACCATTGCGTCAAAAGAATGTTGTCATTAACATTAACAGTCCAGTGAATGGAGATGAAAAGACTTGCATATCTCGTGTCGAGTCGTGGCCATTTAGGGTAACTTACAAGGGACTTTTTAAGGACTGTTTTACGTAATCAAGCATTGTGGCTTGTTTATTATCGCCACACCCGTACAACCAAGTAATTTTATGTGTAGGTTCTTTACGTCAACATGGATAGTTTAAGACGACGATTTCTTTCTGACTCAAAGTTGTCTTTGCAGTGACGGCGGGGAGAATCCGACAGTGAAGATTTATTGGTAATTTTCAGAAGGAAAGGTTTAATGTAGACAGTCGTATTTATGCTCCTTATGTAGAACAATTGTCCGCATTACTCAAAGTGTGGATTCGTAATTCCGAATCCACACTTTACTAAGGGAATAAATGTGTGCTCCGGAGGTTTTTATCACTCTGTTTAATACCACTTAGAGTCTGGGTGCTGATAATTACCCGAGCCGGAGGCGAGGGTAATTATCAGCACCCAGACTCTAAGTGGTATTAAACAGAGTGATAAATACCGACGGAGTACATATTTATTCCCATTCATAAATACCTTTTCGGTAAAAAAAAATCATATAATTCGTTCAAAACATCCCGATTTTGTTCAACAAATTCACTTTATGCTTTTTGAAACATCCCTCCTGCAAAATAATGGAGTGTTCAGCTGGCGAGTAAGATGAAAACAACCCTTTTATGGAGTTTGACGCGCGCGTATCATGTTCTGCGCGATGTCGCGCAGAACGCACCTGGCGCGTTGCGTTTTGAATTTAGAACTATAAAATTCTAACTCCCTGGTAGTGTTGCGCATGCCTACGTGAGGATTGTGAACGTTCAACCAATGAAACGATAAGAGGCACTGGATTTTTAGGAGTCCACATTTTATTGTGACACTGGAAAAGTGTTTAAGACCAGCTAGCCATGTCTTTATCATCCGTTTAATACCGGCCACGTGACGGGCTCTCGACCAATAGGAATGGCTAAACTGTCTGAGGTATTTATGAATAAAGATTCATTGTTCCGAATCCACACTTTTTACATCATATCACATCATATGTGACATCATATCATCATCATCATCAGTCTCCAAATCCAGCTATGGGACGTTGAGCCACCCACGCCAACAGATCAGTATATTCCCATCCTTCTTGAGCAGCGTCGAAGCCTCAGATCCATATAAGAGGATTGGTAGGATACAGGTGGTGTAGATCCGGGTTTTGGTGCAGTGAGTGAGGCGTTTGTTTCTCCGGACACGGTCCAGCTGGCCCATGGTTGGAAGAATCCCAACCAATTCGACGATGGATATGTGAGGAATATCCATCGGAGTGAATGATATGCAAATTGCTCCACTGCCACAATGATGGAATCGGGGATGGTCCTGAACCAGTGTTTTGGATCTTGGTCTTGGGGAGACATGCATACCCATGGTAGCTATGAAGAGAGCTGTGTCATCTGCATAGTCCAGGTCAGTGAAGAGCACATTTGCCAACCGTGGTTCTATCAATGATCCAGTCGATGGCACGACAGAAGAGTGTAGGAGCAAGGATACATCCCCGACGAACACCTGACGATGTTGAAAAGGCTTCAGAAACGTCATTGCCAAGCCAAACTCTTGATGTAGTGCCGTTGTGGAGATCCTTTATAAAGTTAAGTAGCAAGGGGTGGGTGTGTTCCGGAGGCCGACAGAGCCTTCCACAGAGCGCTCCTGTCTATGGAGTCAAAAACAGCCTTGATGTCAGTATAGGCCACATTGTGACGTCAAAGCAGTTGCTTTGCTAAGATCCTCATTCAGGTCCATTTTTTGGCTCTCAGTTTACAGCGCTGGCTGTTCATCAGCTTATTTTTATTTCCCAGGTTAATTCAATGAAGATGGATGAGACTGCACCGATCTAAGGGTTGTGTCTAAACTATGCCAAGATGTCAATGGATGTGGTACTTGATGATTCGCCACCGGATTTGGTAGTTTGGCCCTAAACTCTGCACGAAATGATTGACAGCGTATTACAGTGTATTAATCCAACCCCAATAGCAAGTCTCCATAATTGTGGGGTCCTTATTACGGCAAAATCGGACGGCAGCCGGAATGGTCGGTACATAAGGAATGACAGTGTAGCTGTCGATACAATCTTTGAACGGCCAGAAGATTAGTTTGGACAAGAGCGATAGGCATATCAAATGGAGGATGACGCCTGAAGAGTCGCATCATGTAACTTTGAGATAACGAAATGACATTGATTACCAACTTCTCAAGCTTTGTTTCGTTGCTCAAGATGACAAGAATTGTATTAGAAAAATGTCCTCTACACTATAACTTTGTGTACTCAATTACTGACATGTTGGCCTATTACAAATTTTTCACTGCAATATTAGAGTTCGGAATTACATGTATCTATGTGAAACTTGTTTAAATCATGCAAATAGTACTTTCAATCGATTCCTCAAGCCCAAATTACCCCGAAAAGTGTTCATTTGTTTTCCTGACGTCTAAATTTTGTGTAACATATGTGTAATATAATGTTGCATTTTTAATGCCGCTATTGGATATGCACTGAAATTAAAATTCTAGGACGTCTAGAATCCTAGATATAGAGAAATACATGTCTTCAAGGCGGCCATTTTGAAAAATCTAAGATGGCCGCCACACATTGCATTGTGGGAAATGGAAACATTAGTTTTGTGATTGGGTATAACAATACAGTTAAAATTTGTATAGTTTTGGCAAATCCCAACAACATTTTAACGAACTAAAAAATTTGCATATTGGACCTATTACCGAGAAAGATTATTACGCAGAATGATGGCTTTGACCAACAGCCATGAAAAAAAAAAATTCATTTTGTGCTTTTGTGTGTACTGCACGCTGCTTTTCATACGAAAATAATACATCATAGCAATTTCCATACCAAAAACATTCATAGCTAGACATAGCTAAGTGTGTGGCTGAAAATTATATATTTTTTGGGGGGGAGGGGTATGGCAGGAAAACAACGGGTTTTGGTAATATTTTTTATTTACTAGCGTCCGAATTAAAAATTCTAAGCAGAAAGTGTGGGCGGAATAGCTTCTAACCTCCTCTGAGCGCTACGCTTAAATTACACTGCATGCTGCTCTGTATCTATTGCTTACTTTGCTCGGTTACTTTATATGTAAGTTCCTTCTTAGTGCGTTGCGTCGGCCAGCGTGGTGACTTTGAATGTCGTGCAATAGGCGTTACAACACGGCCTAAAACATTTAAATTACATTGCAAAATTTTACACGGTACCCGTTCCGAGCTGTCATGCGAACTTTTACAAGGAATATATGAAGAACACGTACTCTGCAGTGCCAGTGGAAACCACTTATATCATGTCAACTTACACATTTACAGTCAAGGGAAAATTGCTTTCGCTTCGTTCTCTTCATAATGAGGGTACACTGAGATCACACAAGGTCTTTCATGGAGGACATATCCTCAGTTGGAATCAAATAATTAGAGTGGCACTTTATCTAATAAACATATCGCGGACTGTTTGCAGCTCTCTTGATATGAGCCGTTGTAAAAACATCTTTAAGATGACGTTACATAATCTATGATGACGTCGCCATGACGTTAAATTCAATATGCACGAATTCACAGTAGGTTTTACTCGTGGGTTCTACTCTGATTGAAAGTCTGTTAAGGTCAGGAGTTGCACCAAAATAACTTTCCTACAATTTGATAAAAGAATGCCAGCATACATATGTTTGCTGGCATTCTTTTATTAAATTGTAGGAAAGTTATTGTTAAATAATATCATGGCCCTAAAGAGTACATACAATACGAGGCAAGAAGTGAGGCAATTGCCTCATTTCAGTCCTGCCGTAATGACAAAGTAAATGTAACAATTGGCAGAACTACTGTTTGTGCTGTAATTCCTCTTACTCTTACAAGAATATCAATTTGCTATGTCTGCTCCTTTTCCTAATGCTTTTGACTTTAAAATGACCCTCATTGTAACTTGGCCCTTTTGTTTCCAACCATTTACGTCAAGAACATTTTTTTTTTATATATTTACAGATTGAACTTGGACCTGCTCTTCTTGTCTTGGCCGGAAATACGTGGTGTTTTGTGACAATTTTGATGTTTTTCATCATCTTCAACCGCAATGATGATTTTGAGTTTCAGGTTTGGTGAACAGGCCTGTTTTGCAAAGGACACGTCGCCAGGGGAAGTAAGGGGTGTTGACAATCAATTTTTTTGGAACTTAGCTTTGAATTATGGCACATTTTGCCGACAGACACACGTTTTTGCTTTCCCGAACCCGCTTCTCCCCCCCCCCCCAAAAAAAATGTTGTCACAACCCTCCACCCCAGGCCCCCCCCCCCGTTACATCTGTGCCTGTTTTGTATTAATTTCATTCGTGTCAATTTTAATTTTGTGTCAATCGTATTTTGATTCAGAATCATTAGGGATTCAAACTTCAATGTACATGTATAATCATTAAAAAAAAATATATTTTTTTTGTATTAGTTCATGCATGACAACATTATGCGCGTGTGTGGGATAGATCTCGTTAAAAAAAAAATGGATAGGGTTGTAAAATATGGTGGAAAATCCGGTTACGTGAGGAACTAGGTATAGTATATGGTTTGATTTTTTGGTATTTGGAGATTTCCACACTTATCGGTCCAATAGTGTAACATTTGAGAATACCTTTTTTGAGTTTTGAAAATAAAACTAAGATCTTGGTCCCTCCATTTTTGCTGTAAACATTGCAAGCTTTTGAGCAAAGGATGTAACTGGTTTTGTATTTTAGGAAATACGGTGGAAATTGTTTTTGTTTTCTTTTCAATTAAGTGTTAAGAACGAAGGACACACATTTCAGATAAAGTCACTAGGTAAGCATAACCTTAATAATTTCCTAACTTGGCTGATTTAAGAAGAAGTAACCGGGAGGAATGAGGTCAATCAAAACCTAGAAAGTTAACGTGAAGAATTATTTGCTCTTTTATAATCAGGATTTATACGTACGAACAGACGAGTGTTGATTGCAAATAATTTGAAGTTTGACCACATCCACAAGTCCTCGTGAAGCTTAAAATGGACTAGTTGGTAAAGCAACAGGCATGCGAATGTCTTATAATCATTTGAAATTGTTGACGTACAAATTGTAAATTTCAAAGGTAGCGATTGTATAAATAAGAACGAGATTTTGGGATTGCAACTTGAAACGATGTATCATTTCGAGCACCACTCAAAGGAGCGACTTTTTTTGTTCTTACAGCGGGCTTTGCGTTGGATATGTTTTGTAATTACTCCCAAGATATACAGGGTGTATCAAAAAAAGTATACACTTAGAGAAATGTATAAAAAAAAAAAAGGATGTTTTATAATTTTTCAAAAATCTGTCACGAAATATTGATGGACCAAGGTCTTACGCAAAGAAATGGTGGCCACGGCGAAGACTGAATCGTGCATGCATGAAGTGCAAACGTTGCATTCCCTCATGACGAGTACCATTAGGCCTAATCATTGACTTGTAAGGTCATGCTGTTGTAACACTCATGTGTACACTAGTGTACACTCATGCGGAACAGCTGAAGATTGACATGGTGGCAATTGAAGCGTAAGACCTTGGTGCATCAAACTTTAGTGACAAATTTTTGAAAAATTATAAAACATCCTTTTTAGATATATTTCTCTAAGTGTATACTTTTTTTTGATACGCCCTATATTGTGTTTTGCAAGCATTCAATGGCATGGTTGTATGGCACCTGTACAAAATTACCACTAAAATTAAGTCTCCGAAATGCTAAATTTCAGTTATGAGTGATGTATCTGTAAGATGAGTTTTTAAACTCCATAGGACTGTTGTTTGGTGTTATTGAGTTTCCATGGTGTGGTCAAAGGTCATTAATACAAAGCAACGTGTAAACCACTTTAAAAGTTTTGAAGTTGCTGCACGTTTTAGTTGGTGTTTAATAAAAGACAATTGTAATGTCGAAAAATTGACTTTTGTTCATTATGAGCTTTATTGATAAAATGTTTCGTAGAATTTCTCTGGAAGAACACGAATTTCAAAAAATTCAATCCAAATCTTGATTTGGGTTATTTTTTTTACCCAAAACTATGTGGTTTTTTGTTTTAATTGTTTTGGTTTCTATCACGTCCGCATATTTTCGGACGTAATAGAAACCATGTTTGGTTTCTATTACGTCCGCATACATTTGCAAAATTTCCTTTTAATTTGTTTTCCCTTAATGGCAGTCCTAGTGAGGTTAGTGTGAAATATATTTTTTTTAATACAAAGCAACGTGTAAACCACTTTAAATTCTTGCAATTTAGAGTTTTGAAGTGATTTCCTAGAATTTCTGTGGAAGAACACGTATTTAAAACAATTCAATCCAAATCTTGATTTAGTTTATTTTTTAACCCAAAACTATGTGGTTTTGTTTATTTTTTTTTGGTTTCTATCACGTCCGCATATTTTTTTCGGACGTGAGAGAAACCATGTTTTGGTTTCTATTACGTCCGCATACATTTGCAAAATTTCCTTTTAATTTGTTTTCCCATAATGGTAGTCCTAGTGAGGTTAGTGTGAATTATTTTTTTTTAATGCACAGCAACGTGTAAATCACTTTAAATTCTTGAAATTTAGAGTTTTGAAGTTGCTGCACGGTTTAGTTGGGGTTTAATATTCACAATTGTAATGTCGAAAAATTGACTTTTGTTCATTATGAGCTTTATTGATGAAATGATTTCCTGGAATTTCTGTGGAAGAACATGAATAAAAAAACAATTCAATCCAAATCTTGATTTTAGTTTATTTTTTAACCCAAAACTATGCGTTTTGTAAAATTATATATATTGGTTTCTTTCACGTCCGCATATTTTTTTCGGACGTGAGAGAACCATGTTTAGGTTTCTATTACGTCCGCATACATTTGCAAAATTTCCTTTTAATTTGTTTTCCCTTAATGGCAGTCCTAGTGAGGTTAGTGTGAATTATTTTTTTAAATGCAATGCAACGTGTAAACCACTTTAAATTTTCGCAATTTAGAGTTTTGAAGTTGCTGCACGTTTTAGTTGGTGTTTAATAAAAGACAATTGTAATGTCGAAAAATTGACTTTTGTTCATTATGAGCTTTATTGGTAAAATGTTTCGTAGAATTTCTCTGGAAGAACACGAATTTATAAAAATTCAATCCAAATCTTGATTTGGGTTATTTTTTTAACCCAAAACTATGTGTTTTTTTTTATTTTTAGGTTTCTATCACGTCCGCATTTTTTTTCGGACGTATGAGAAACCATGTTTGGTTTCTATTCCGTCCGCATACATTTGCAAAATTTCTTTTTTATTTGTTTTCCCTTACTGGCAGTCCTAGTGAAGTTTGTGTGAATTATTATTTTAATGCAATGCCGATAAACGATAAAATCCTCGTCCACATCATTCCCTGCTAAATCAATGGCGTCTGCAAATGTTCCACCTGATACGTTGTTTGAAACTAAATCATCCGTGTAAGTTGATTTATATGTAAAATTGCCTCACCTTCCAAATGATCTGAATTAAGCCCGGTTCATACTCTGCGCGGAGGCGAACGCGAATTTGTGCAGTCGTGTCAAGTATTCGCGCTGCGATTCGTAAAAGTTGAACATATTTCAACTTGAGCGAATTTCGCTTTCGCATAAAGTATGAAAACTTAACAAAAAAGCAGAGCATGCATGTACCCAATGATCCCAATCAATTATTCTTAAAAGTCCGTTAGCTCCCAAACCTGAGAACTTGGTGCAATGTTGACTTGGCGGCCTTTGAGAAGGTAAAGAGTCAACCCTTCTTTATGGATGTCTCCACAAGGTTAGCAGGATCACTGTCGGTGTCTCCTTTCAAACAAGAGAATCCGATGTCGTGTTTTACAGAGCAAAACACTGTCGCCTCATTTAAACACAAGATACATTTTTTAAAGCGGAAAACCGAGACTTCCAGTATCCATGTTGTACAGGCACGGCACAGTCTGTGGCGGTATATCGATTGCAAGTGTATTGTATGTTTTCTAAAACATAGAACTAGATTGGAAATGACATTTTAGTGCTTATTTTGACAAACTTGTACCTATCGATGAATTGCAGCTGTTTCCATTTAGACCTTGATAATTTTGGCAACGTGTTACGTTAGACTTGATTGTTGTGAAAATGTAATTTGTCATAGTAATTAGTATATTTTAGTTGTGCATAAATTAGAATAAAAAAGGGTTGCCGATACTGGTTGGTTCAGTTTTCTAGGGACGACCAGAACGTATTGTGACTACGCATTATTACATCTAGCAAGGTGACGGTAGAAAGTCGTAAATAGTGCCCTCTACTCCACCTCGCCCGGCCGTTGCGTTACAGCACATTGCTACATTGGCACTCTTTTGGGTGTTGCTGCATTGTGCAGTGGATATAACTAATCCACAATTTATATTGGCCAATAAGGTTTTAAGTCGCACTTTGAGTGGCTTGAGTTATGGTATGCAATTAGCTCATCGAAGAGAAGATTCATATTGCAGATGCTGTCGTCGTCCATGTGGATGAAGGAAAGAGGGTTTTTTTTGCAACAACCTCGAGGGCACACCTCAGATTAAGCTCAACCATATATGGAATAGGTTAAGCCATATGTGGAATTGGTTAAACCACTCAAGGTTCTTGCCCTGTCGGCTTTGTTGTTGGAACTGGCATGAACTCGTTGCCCTCCCAATGCTCTTTTCTATCCGTCTGCTACCCAGGAGAGTGGAGGCGTTCGTGATTTGCTCAAGCCGGGGCTGCGAAGTGCAAATGGTTAATTCGCTGCGGAGGGTAGTTGTTAGGGATATGGGGTACTAGCTACAAGGCGTGATGACCTTAAGTAAAAGCTCAAGGTTCAGATGATCACCTCTGATGAGCATGCCAGCGCTCTTTGGTGTTGTGGGCGCCATGATATCGGAGATAACTGGTAGGGCGTCGTTGAGTTACCGTAGCGGTTACTTTCGTGCAACGTCCTGCCACAATACGAGGCTGCATATTCTGCGATTAAGAACACCAGGGTAGACTGGTTCCTGAAACCAGTCTCCTGGGTAGCAGACGGAGAGAAAAGAGCAGTGGGAGGGCAACGAGTTCATGCCAGTTCCAACAACAAAGCCGACAGGGCAAAGAACCAGCTTCAAGACGTGATGACCTTAAGTAAAAGCTCAAGGTTCAGATGATCACCTCTGATGAGCATGCCAGCGCTGTTTGGTGTTGTGGGCGCCATGATATCGGAGATAACTGGTAGGGCGTCGTTGAGTTACCGTAGCGGTTACTTTCGTGCAACGTCCTGCCACAATACGAGGCTGCATATTCTGCGATTAAGAACACCAGGGTAGACTGGTTCCTGAAACCAGTCTCCTGGGTAGCAGACGGAGAGAAAAGAGCAGTGGGAGGGCAACGAGTTCATGCCAGTTCCAACAACAAAGCCGACAGGGCAAAGAACCAGCTTCAAGACGTGATGACCTTAAGTAAAAGCTCAAGGTTCAGATGATCACCTCTGATGAGCATGCCAGCGCTGTTTGGTGTTGTGGGCGCCATGATATCGGAGATAACTGGTAGGGCGTCGTTGAGGGCGGTTACTTTCGTGCAACGTCCTGCCACAATACGAGGCTGCATATTCTGCGATTAAGAACACCAGGGTAGACTGGTTCCTGAAACCAGTATCCTGGGTAGCACACGGATAGAAAAGAGCAGTGGGAGGGCAACGAGTTCATGCCAGTTCCAACAACAAAGCCGACAGGGCAAAGAACCAGCTTCAAGGCGTGATGACCTTAAGTAAAAGCTCAAGGTTCAGATGATCACCTCTGATGAGCATGCTAGCGCTGTTTGGTGTTGTGGGCGCCATGATATCGGAGATAACTGGTAGGGCGTCGTTGAGTTACCGTAGCGGTTATTTTCGTGCAACGTCCTGCCACAATACGAGGCTGCATATTCTGCGATTAAGAACACCAGGGTAGACTGGTTCCTGAGGAGTCTCCTGGGTAGCAGACGGATAGAAAAGAGCAGTGGGAGGGCAACAAGTTCATGCCAGTTCAAACAACAAAGCCGACAGGGCAAGAACCAGTAGAGGTGTTGGGTGGTCCAGCTGGTTTACAAATTGATGTCTACCTGTGCAGTTAGATCGGTGAGAATATTCAAGCACTGGTGCAGTTGTACTGTAAGCTCAATCACTGCTACATGATTTGGACATCGCCGATCCAACACATGGGCACGCAGCGGATCTATTGCATATATGATTTAACACTGCATATATGCTTTAGCACATGTGAGGTATGGTGTATGGTGTGTGCATGCAAGCTGGGACTGGCAACTGAGAGAAATTCCTAGAGTAAGTACGACCTTTGTCTATGGCATATTGTGACGTGTGCAACAATTCTGTGGTATAATTTCGGTTACTGATTTTGGGATTGCGTTGGACTCATTTGCGTGGGCATTTCAAATTCTTATTGGCATGATAGTCAACTTGCATGCCTAGTGTATGTTACGTTTCAATTGTGTGGATACTCAGTAACAATCGTCAGTCGTGTCTGTTGATTCTATGCTTAGTAATTGGTTGATTGTACATTATCACTATCAACGAACATTCGGGCAAATGCCAACAAATGCCCTCTACCAACACAGGTGGGTTCACTGGATCAAGTGACCACAGCGAGAGGAAACTCAAGAGAATTTGCAGGTGCATCAGCCCGATTGCTGTGATTTTTTGAACAATGAACAGGCCAGAAAAAGTGTCAGTGGAGCTCGACGGTCGTTTGAGGCTTTCTTTAACCACAGAGGCAAGACCAATGAACTGTGCGAGTATTACTATGGGGCAGTGGATATGAGATTAACCCTAAAAGGAAATGGGCTCTTCGTGCGAGTCTCCAACCTGAGGGTAACTTGAAGAATGCGTGATGTAAGGCGTATTTTTGTATTCTTTGTACTTGACCAGTTTCGGGAGTCAAAGTTTGGACTGAAATTTTTGTTGAAAATCCTCCCCCCCAAAAAAAAAAAAAAAAAAAAAATCATTTTTTTTTTAAAGGGTTCATTAAAAAAAAAAAAAAATCTGCGGACGTGAGAGAACCCTATGCGGACGTTAGAGAAACTATCATTGTGGGTTCCCTAACGTCCGCATAGTGTTTCTCTCACGTCCGCAGATTTTTTTTTTTTAATGAACTCTTTAGAAAAAAAAAATGATTTTTTTTCTTTTTCAAGGGTAACTTGAAGAATTCGTGATGTAAGGCGTATTTTTGTATTATTTGTACTTAACCAGTTTCGGGAGTCAAAGTTTGGACTGAAATTTTTGTCGAAAATCCTCCTCGCAAGTTTCTCGCACGTCCGCAGAATCCTGCGGACGTGCGAGAAACTATCATTGTGGGTTCTCTAACGTACGCATAGTGTTTCTCTCACGTCCGCAGATTATAATTTTTTTTAATGAACTCTTTTTTTTAAAAAAATGCGGACGTGAGAGAAACAATATGCGGACGTGGGGAACCCACGATGATAGTTTCTCGCACGTCCGCAGGCTTTTGTAGACTTTTTTTTTTTTTTTTTTTCACTATTTATTTCAAATTCACAGTGACCAATACATTGGGATCATCTTTAAACAGTTGTTTTGGAGACGATTTATTTAAACAAACCATCAGTTAAGATTCATATTACCGTATCACTATAGCAAAACAAATTATCAAATGCCTTTTTATTTCATTAGTTCTCTAAACACCTCTCCGAAGTACAAATATCTTGAGAAGGGACAACCGTATAATCCGATCTAAGTTTCTAATTGGTTCTTAATTAACAGCAACAAACAAAAATTAAATATCACAATTGAATTTAAAAAGTCACAGAAAGTGGTACATGCAATGTTGAAGTGTACTAACACACCAAAATTGTGGATACCTGCAGTGGTAGAGGAATGTCTGAAGTTGGAGGAAGTTAAAAAAAAGTGTCGATTAGTTTACTTAAAATCAGTTACTTAAAAAATGATATTGATAGCAATAAAACATAATAAATTGACTAAAAATGTTACAAACTACTGAAAAGCCAAATAGGGGCAAAATAGTTTCCTAATCTTCAGAATTATGATGTACAGAATGAAACTACATAA